AACTACCCTAGGGTCTTTAATCCAAGGGCAACTTTGGAAGAAGAAGTTAATTCATTCTTGATATCTTAAAAAATCAAATATTATGGACCACAAAAAAAGGCTAAAAAATTATTTTAAATGGATCGAAGGGAGTATATTATAAGTGTGCCCCATATTAATAATGGAGGAAAGGGTGTAATACTTTATCGTGCAATGGAAGGATGTGAAAAAACTCTTAGGGTCATAAATGATTGATAGTAGCTCAAAAGTTTGGAAGATGACACTGAAAACACAAAAAATATTGACCAAACACCCTTGTACAAGCATATATCGGTGAACAGTTATACTGTAAATAGAATTCGAGGACTCCCTTGCCTAAGAAGAACAAACGAGAAGAAAAACAAAATGGCGTCACTTCCATGCATGTTTTTCTTTACAATTTCATTTTCTCTTGTTTTTGTCTTTTTGCTACAACTAGACAATCAGTTGAAATTTTGAGCATAGAGATTAATGTGAAGTTTCATGAATCCAACAAGTGAGTAACCAAACTAAATAAATGTGTAGACGAAAAGCAAGAACATCTAACAACTCCAATTCTAATAATAGTACCTCACTATTTGTGACAGCTTCTTTTTACGTAAACTAGTTAAAGCTTCAATCAGTGTAAAATGATGGAAGTTTGGAAATAAAATTGAGTTAGTCAAAGAATATAGAGCAGGGACTGTGTTAAATATTTCAGCCAAATAGGTTACTAGGGGGAATTAAATGGAGTAATACAGAAGATCAAACATAAGGGTTGTGCTGAAATGAACAGAACCCCGGCATCTAGAGAGATTATGAATTCCAATTCAAGAATAAAAAAAATTATTGTAAAAGGTGGCCTTATTTTTAGTCTTTTTATTTGTGAGCCTTGTTGGCATATTTGGAACCTTTTATTTAAGGCTTTGTTGGCCAAATAAATGGCCTTGTATTTTGAGAGGATGTGGCCAATTGTTGGCCAAGTATTTCTTTCTTCTCTTCCTATACAATGAGGACTCTCTACTCATTTGGAAACACACCAACAAGACTTGAGTTTTCATTCCTTGTTTCTTCCTTTTTCCCTTTATTAAGAGTGTTTTGTATGAGAGTTAAGTGTTGGGAAGCATTTGTGTGAACCCTTTCTTTAGAGTGATCTTGTGAGGTTATTTCCTTAGGGTATTTGGGATTAATTAGAGTATTTACTCTAATTTTGTACTCTCTTTTATACTCTTATTGTTATAGTAAAATTGCTCATCTCTGCTTGTGGACGTAGGTCACTTTGACCGAACAACATTAAATTTGTGTCTTCTTTATCTACTTTAATTATCGTTGTTATCAACTTCCATTGTCTTTGTTATTGCCATTATACCGTTATTTGGCTAAATTCCACACTATCCGGGTTCCCGATCCTAACAAACTGGTATCAGAGCCGAATCTAATCGGGTTAGTTTCAATAGCCAAAATGACTCTAACAAAAACCTATGTTGAGAAATTTGACCGAAGTGCAAACTTCGAAATGTGGCAATTAAAGATGGAAGCTATCCTAATTCAGGATGGCTTAGACTTGGCGTTGCAAGGAAAGGAGAAGAAGTCGGATAAAATGACAGACGAGGAGTTTGTCATCATAGACAAAAAGGCAAAAGCAGGTATCATTTTAAATCTCTCAAATGAGGTTTTACGTGAAATTTTTGTAGAAACCACAGCTAAAGGCATGTGAAAAAAATTGAAAACCTTATATATGAAGAGGACGGTAAAAAATAGACTTTACCTGAAGCAGAAGCTTTATACAATTCGTATGGGTGAAGGTACCTCTATTCTCTCTCATCTTGAC